ATATGGTTACTCTGGTTTTTGTTTCGTTGATTGTTTGGTAGAATTTGGAGATTACAGCTTGAGTGAGACGTTTCCCATAGGAGCGACGGGCCCAGGACAGGGCATGAGAAACGATGCGGTCGACGGCAGGTGATGATAAAGACTTGGTACGAATGGTGGTCAGCTTCTCTTGAAGTGTGGTTTGGTAATGTTCGATCAGGACCTGCGTAACCTTACAGAGCCATGTCCGATTGAGGAATCTAATATTCGCGTCGACAGCTGATGTTTTCATTGATGGACGGATAAAACTATCCAACTCAGAGACTTTGCGTTTGAAGGTAAACGCTGGTTGGCCTTGCTGTTGAAGGGTAAGGATTGCCAAATGATGGAGGCACTGCAAAACTTGGAAGAACACCTTCACAAAGGGTTCTTCCTCCTTATGAGTGGGGACTGGTTGGCGTCGGTGGGCTGGTAGTCTTTTCTGTTGTTGGTCAGGTCGTTGGTTACCTCTTGATTGGTAGGCTGTGTTGTAGGTAGGTCGGCGATGGGGTGGGATATAGCTGGATGGGTTGGTTGGTGGTCGGCGATTGGTAGGTGGAAGACAGGGCCGTTGTAGGGTACGTGATATTGGTTTTGTTGACGATTAGTGTTTCTATGTCTGGCTTCTTGCCAGTGGTTGTTGTAGTTGGGGAGCATAATGAAAATAACTTGGGGTTAGAAGGGAATGTACAGCGTATGTAACAGGAGGAAACTGTATATGCTAGCGTGAAAAATGTTGGGATCAAATTATGCAAATAAGTCAAACTGGGTTTGGGGATATATAAAGTAAGATGAAAGTTATGATGAAAAATTCAAAAATATATATTTAGGTGATAAATAACGCTAACAATGATGTGAAAAATTATAACAAGTAAAACAAAAACTTACGCAATTGACACGAACCGGTTTTCGAAATATTATTCTTTTTCAAGTGTCGAGGAATGGTTATGAAATGAGATTGAATTTGCGATTTATATAGTAGTCAGTTAATACAGGTTTTTGATTTTCTAAAAATTATTGAGTGAATCATGTCATATCTTTGATCAATTGAGGATTAGGATTATTTTTGATTTCTTAATTAGTTGAGTCATATCTTTGATCAATTGAGGATTATAGAAATATTGGATTAGATTTTGATTATATCTGAGTAATAATTGAGGAGGATTAGATTATCTCAGAGTACAATTTACATAAATGAAAAACATAAATAAACAGAAATTAAGAATACAAAAATATAAAATAAATAAACATGAGAAATATTTGATAAAATAAGCGGGATTAGTGAATTGTAAATTGATTAGAACTAACTTTGAATTTTGATTATACCCGAGATTAATGCAATTTTGTTGAAGAAAGTTTGTTATATGCACGAGAAACAAATGTCAAAATCCTAACATACACAATATATACCGAAAAAATAAAATATATAAATATATATAAGATGAAATAAAATATACCAAAGTCAAAATAAATTGTCTGATCTGGCCTGGCACGGACAGTATTAGATTTCGGGGAAGGGAGGGTTTGATTCTCCCAAATGTACAGGCCTAGGGTGGAGCAGACACTTTATTTAGAAATTAGGATTAAGGGTCTTGATATTCTGTTCTTATTCTGACCTGAAATTAGAAAAAATAACTCGCCCGATGGGCGAGAAGTATAGTATCTGTTATGTACTGATTGTTTTTAGTTTACTATGAACAATATTATCATTTAAGTTCTTATTTTTTGAATATGCAACTATCATTTTCTGTTTATAGACATGGGGGAATTTCTCTTGAAGGCTCTTATAGTGGGCATGAACTATCTTGCTTGCTCGATTGCTGGTTGTAACAAACCCATGTTCACTGTTTGATGATGCCTCACTGTCAGAACTGATGCTAATATCTTGTTCATTGGCCGAAATAACTAAAACCTCGTTATCTTCATGGTTTTCATCTATTTTCTGAAAACAAGACGGTTCAAATAATTAAGGAATTGTTTTCCTTTTCCAGTTTTAAAATGATACCACAGTAAGTTCTATCTTTATTGGCACGGTACAGGTATTAGATGCATGCATGCAATTCAGAAACCATGCAAAGGGAAAGTGTCATGGCATCAGGTGATTAAAAAAAGAGTGAGTATTTTCCTGGCTAGAATCAGAATGGGTCAACCTACATCTACAGGGCATCATTGGCCATGGCTTGGCCAATTGCAATGCCAATCAAAGTGGTCCTAGTAGTAGGCCTAGTCATGGTAAAGACAGGAGGGACAAAGTCAAAATCTAGTCATCATAATTCAATCAAAGTCATATTAGATTAGATCTAGGCCTACCAGTATAAATTAAACAAATTCACATAAAAAGAATTTTTATGGTAAACATTCTTCATAGTCCAATCCTGACACACTTCCTTCGCGACCTCCTTACATGCATCGTCCTTGATCAGTGCACCACGTCCTTTCGCAGGCTTACACAAAAAAACTCACCACATATTCTTTGTCCTTTTGGTAGAAAGTTCCGAACAAGTCTTTCTGCACAGCACCTCTAATCTCCATTGTCGAGCAAAAAAATGGCAAATCAATGCTTCTTCAACAACGAATACCGACTCTCTGAAAACTGAAATAACGGTTCTGACGGTTAAGATGACGTCAAACCAAGGAGCTTTAATATACTGGAGGAGCCCTGCGCTATATAACGTCATAGAACTAGGGATGTGACAATGGTGTCATTTTGAGCATTTTTCTTGAATGCAGCATGTATTCTAAGGCAAAATTTTCTGGAGAATACAAATATGACAATAATTTTTGTCTATGGCGTCATCTGATATTGGGGTCTGACGTTTTTTCAAGATGGCCA